AACGTTTATCATAGAGAAGGTTCACGGCGCGGAGATCGCAAAAATATTTTTGGCTAACTCGGTCGAGATGAGCCAGTTTCATCACTGCCAGCTCGGCAGGAGAAATTTTAACATTTTCGTTTGAACAGAGCTGAGCGTGAAATAAAAGTATGCTCAAAACTATATATTGCTCTAACAGACGTAGAAATGTTCGCTCTTTTGCTTATATTTTTATACGTTTATATGCAAGCATGTGAATTCGTATGAACCCTTTTTGTGCATATTAATGAATACATGTGCAATTGAATACATTGATAGACGTTCTCTGTTTTAGACATACGATACACGCAGCAACAAGTTGATCGTTCCGGTAATTTAGGATTGCCTTTATTACGGTCTTTCATTGTGCCGTTAATGAAACAAAAAAAGTTGGAGCGGCCTCCCAGAAAACAAATTAATTCGGCAAACATATAAATACTATACATACATATTGTGGACGTTTGACCGATATACCGATGAAGGGAGCTTCGCTGAAACCACTTTGGTTATAATCATAACATCATAAAATACTTAATAGCTCTTAAATCGGACGAATAATTATTTACAAATTTGTATAGTAAATATAAATATACTTATAAGCATGCTTACATAGCTTTGGTATTTTTATATGTGTGCATGTTTGTTAGGGGTTAGTAAACTATCTTGCACTAGAATAAGCTGACGAAAACGCAAACAAAACGTGTCCTCAAATCGGTCAATTTGAACAATTGATATCCTGCCAAGTATTAAATACAAATAAATCCACATTGAAATTGCAAGCTCATTTATGGTGAACATGCACACATCAATAAAATGGATCCAAGCAAAAATTCGAAGTGGAATGCTCGTGCAGAGCAGCAAAAATGAATGAGAATCTGCCAAAACGCATAAACACGCAAACAAAGCAACCAATTGATATGTGGCAAGAGCGGCAAATGAATGCATGGTAGCAAACAACAAAAACAAGGAAGAGGATGTCCTGCTCAGCGGGCAAAATGAAAAAAAAAGAGTCAATGAACATAACAGATTACAGAAGTAATAACGGCAGATCAAATACATCTGTGTACGTACCCAAGACGCTAAGAATATACACACATATATTTGTAGATAGAACGGAATTAATCTATATATGTATATAGTATAAACATATGCTAAGCCAATTGTATGCAACAAATTCGTATGAATTTACCGCTTGTCCGGTTAGGTCCCATTCTCTTCCTACCTCTGTGCGTAATCCGGAAGTAAGGTATCAGTAAATGTAAATGCAAAAGAAGTAAAAAGTAAAAAGTCGCGGCAGTATATTTATCAGTTGTTCGAAGCAGCAATGCCGCAGACAATGTGACCTGAAAGTAAGTTGGAAACGACGAATAGTAAGTATGTATGTATGTGTATATTCAATATTGACATTTCAATATTTATACTCACAAATTACCTACAATAATTATTTATTTTTTAATTTCCAATAAAAAGAATGCAAATACTCTAAATGTAAAATGTAAAGTATGAATTCCCATATGCAGCTTTGAAACATTCAGGATACACACGGTTATGTATAAAAAAATACTTATATATACATATGTACGTACATTTGCCCAAACAAATCCTTCAATGGACAGCAAATGTAGTAATGACTGGGGCAATTTGAATGGTAGGTTGGTGTAATTTCTATGTCCTTCCTCTTTCTTTTGTTGCCCGCACGTCGCCTGTCGTGTGCATGTGTTACTTAAAGATCCGATAATAATTTTTGTATTACACGTATGAAGCAGCATGTGGCAAAATACAATTGTTCGTATATATGCCTATGTAGATGTGAAACTCATGCAGGTACAAATTCGGTGTTGCACAAATACACCGCAAAACAATATTACTATCGCTTCCTGTTTCCTTCATTAGACAATGTCTATAGCAGCAGGGGCATCTGGAAATGTTTAGCCCATTATTGTAGCCACATATTTGTTTCCAGAGGTTTCGCATTGTTTTTATTTTTGTTTGTATGACTTATGTGCATTCATATGTGCCAGTACCTGCATATTTGCGCATCGGTTAAGCGTTAGCGTTTGAATCGGTAATTCTTCGAGTAAAGTATCTTTGTAAGTTTCTGCCTATTGATTCTAATTATTTATTAAAATATGTATAAATACAGTCTTACAATTGTAAAATATATACGTATCTAGCATCTAACAGTAATGTGTGGTATTTAGGCAATCAGTCCAAACTTAACTCTCTTAAACCGGAATCAAGTTACCTTGTCTTTCACCAACTAACTTTTACGCCTAAAATTACTTCTCTATTGACATCATCATCTCCTTTTTTTGAAAGATCTCCTTAGGGAAGAAATAAAAAGCGGTCGTTAATAATCCATATAGCAATATGAACAAAGAGAAACAAGGGTATATACCATAAGAACATCAGCAACGATTTTTGCAAAAAAATTCATTCATAAAAGCTCAATAAATGCGATGATGACGCAAATGGGGAAAAGTAAGCGGAAAGCTTTCCGAACAGTGAATGAAGAAGTCAAAAATGTGTGGGAGGCTTTATTTATTTAACACTATATATACATGTATATTATACATATGTTAGTGCATGTATATTCACGAATTTTACAAACACCCATTCAACAACTTATGTACTATTCTCTTAGGCGAATGCCGAACTTCCTGTTTATAGGTAAAATCATAGAGTTCTTACGTAAAATGGATTGAATGAAGGAGACGCACACAGCAGCCAACGGTAACGTAGGCGAAACGAAAGGTTAAAGAAGAGAATCAATGAAATGTATTAGTTACGATGCTGTGTTGGCTTCGTGCGAACTGAATGGCTACTCCGACTGCATCTCACAAATGCGAGATTTGCACACGAATGAACGTTAACTCCAGCTCGGATGGTGTTCCGATTTCGGAGCGTATTATCGACCGTGCCCACATTAGCTAGCTCCCCGACAATTTGGTCCACTTGTCGGCATAAGTCATTTTAGTGCGCAGCGCCCACGTGCGTCAATGAAGAGAGCCTGGGCGTACATATGTAAATACGTATGTGTGAACAAAACAAAAAAAAAATAAATGCGAACATGCATTGAGCAAAAAGCCGTTAATGTATACTGTAGACCAAATGAGTAAATTAGTTAAACAGAAAGTATATAAGCAAAACTAAACAATTTGTCGTTCATATGTACGAACCATTGCATACTGCAAGTACAACAAGTTTTTCGAATATTGAATGAAACAACCAGTACGCCTGGGTAGGTTCGCATATCACAATGCATGAATGGAAATCTTCTCAGCACGTCGAATATCCCAACTAAATTAAAATAGCAAAAAATTGAGTCGGCGTATTTTCAAGAGCGCGGAAATGCGGCAGATACAAATTCGATGTTTTGAAAAAACGAACAAATAATGTCCGTGACGTAATTCAATCGCCAACGTGTTAGTATGTGACATGCCACATTTTTTAAATTTTTCGCGGTATTGATGTGCAAACATGTTTGGACTGATATTGCATGCTAAGCTTAGAAAATTTAAAGAAAAGTGCTTGAGCAGTTCTGAGAAATTTATAGAATTAAGTTATTAAATTTGATAAAGTTACATTTAAGAGAAATAATAAATATCGGCTTATTTTAATGGATGGGTAGAAGGGTTTTAATTTAATAATTGTGTATTCGATGAAAGATTGTTTAATTCAGTACACTAAAATTTAAAAAAATTTAAGAGTATAAATCCAAAATGGACAATTTCAAATTATTTTTAGAGTTTTTGAATCGCATTCGCCTTGTAAATTTCACAAAATTATGCACCCGATTCACTGGAATACAACTTGTCTTAAAAATAAAAACGGCAAGAATATATGAGTATGTATTTAAGTAACTTAGTAACAAATATGAGCCCGTGGTATGATATGTAATATTTCCTCTTCCGGAAGTTTATAACCGGAGATCATATCAAGTATATAGCCTGAAAGTATGCTAAAATAAATTATTTGTCTCAACTGCTTTTGTGTAGAATCTACATATGCTGTAAATAGAGACTACCAACAACCCAACAAACCATTTACTTATGAATATTAAATATAGATGAAAGAGATCTAACGAAGATTGAACAAATATAAACAACAACAGCAAATAGAAATAAACAATATTAAATTGTGTACTTAAGATTATTAAGTATATTTTTACCATTTCTTCGGAAAAATCAACCCTTACTATTGAAGATTGGTAAATTTAAAATTGTATATTTGAAAACACTGCTTCAAAGCAAATAAAATACCTACATATGATGTTGCTACTGCATAAATAATAAGTACTAGACTTATATAATAGACACTATTCTTCAAGGCATAAGTATATCCAAAAAATACCAAAATTAGTTAAATATCGATGCACTAGATATGCAGACCCAACAGTATGTAAATCCATATGTACATACATACACATGTATATAATACTTGTATGAATTACTAATTTCACGTTGGAGCGCGTGACGTCAAAGCACTCTGGGATAATTACACAACGGGAGAGAGCCAACTGCAACAGAAATACATACAAATGTATGTATGTTTGATGTACACGTAAATTTTGTTTCCTTATTATATTGATAAGAGGGTGTGTTCATATATGTGGTTAATGCTAAGGACAATTTAATAATGAAGCTAAGTGTAACAGCATTAACTCCGTAATGCTTTAAAATTAAGAACACACATACATTTATTTATACACATGTATATGCAATGAAAGTGCCTTCTAGGAGAGAATGCATACAACAATACATTGTGATATCCGCTGCTCGTCAAGACCTGCTCGTCAAGACCTAGTCAGTTACTAATTAAATCCAATTGGATTGGTACAATCCGTGCAACCGTGTAGGTAACAGTGCTGCTTCTTTACTCCCTTTTCGCCTTTTCCATTTTGACAGCTGCGCTAAGTACAATGGCATGCAATGTGTAAGCGCTCCGCTCCTATCTATCTCACTTAGTGTCAATCTCTCGTATTGTATCGTTCGCTGTCGCATCGGTATCGGTATCGGTCTGTGTACAAAATAATTCGACGGGGAAAATATTTTATTTTAATTCAAATATAACTACTGAAGGATTATTTACAAATTAAAATTAAATGTAATAAATTAAGTATGTGTACGTAAAGATCTTAATCTCAAAACTTGTCGCCGTACTAAAAACTAGGGTTCCTGGTGAACCAATATAGTATCTATAGTATATTATCGTGTACATGTGCATATATCACATTTTAAAGTACATAAGTGTTGGTGGATATTGAAGTGTTATACATATATTATATGCAGATTGTGAGAGTGTATTAAAGAGAAAAAAGTGCGATGTCAAAAATAATAAATTTGTGGTTGGAAATTGCAAGGAAATATGTATTCTAAGTAAATAATGCAGGAAATACAGTAAATGGAAAAATGTAAAAACAGCACAAACTATGCAACCGAGGGCAGATACAATAACAGCGGTCCATGTATTAAAGAAAAGAAGTAAACTATGAAACTCTTATAAATATATAAATAATGAAAAATTACGTAGACAGGAGGAGAGAAGATACATGCAGATGTGTATTTGTATGTAAATATCTATGTAAAGGTGAACCAGTCGAGCAAGTAGGCAGACCGATGGAGATACCGATGCGCTAAGTACGCCCGTGGGTACTGAGTGATTGGAGTTTGTGACAAGAACAGTCGGTTTAGAAACTGCTCAATCTGTAAAGTATCCGTAATGATAACGGTGACCACGCGTACACCGCATCGTTCGCCACATATTGCCTCAGAGTTTCCCTTTCCAAACTGCGCCAACATCGCATTCATTCTCAACCATATTATCCATCTCCTCATTATCTGCCGTTCTTGCCACCTCCGCTCCAAACTACTCAAGCTTGTACTGTAAATGTCGACAGCAATAGCACAGTGACGATAATCGTCCAAAGTCATCGCCGAAGTCGTCGCTCTCATTTTTCTTATGTTGTTGTTGCTACCTCGTATTAAAGTGATTACAGTTGTTATTATTATTATTTTTTTTTTTTTTGCTGGTTTGTTTGGTTGTCGTTGTCTTCAGCCATCTATGTATATGTACATAATATATATACTCCATATGTACAATTAGATATATTCGCCTCCGCCGTCTTTCCCAATATCATCGTAGTCATCGTCGCCTCCGCCCGTTCGCATAGCCTTACATATATATAGGTACATATATACGTATAGATTTTTACATACATACATATGTATTGGCCGTCTCGTCGGTGTCTGTTTACCGAAGGGAGCACCATACTAGTGCGCCAACAGAGAGGTCTGTTGGAGACTCCTCAGTTGCTTTTCGACGTCTGAATTGTGAGCGTGTATCACTCTCGTCGGCTGCGACGTGACCTCCTCTATCTGCATTGGCACAAATACAAAACGCAAAACTAAAACCCACACTTACATACTAATCCGCACGAGTATATCCATAAATGATACAGTTTATATGTATCAACAAATGTTCATACGTACATTTATAGTCGTTAAGCAAAGCAAAATGGTATTATTGTGATAATTGTTTCCATAACATGCAATTTTCTTGTGGAAAGTTAATTCGCTTTCAAATTTTCAGAAACAAATGTGGTGACCTGCCGAAATAAAGTGAAAAGTGCACATACATATGTACCTTTACTCCAGCCAAAGGTAGTAAAGAGTAAAGTTTATTGTCATGCCGCAAAATCTATATGAATAAAAAAGCTCAGTTAAAAATGAAATGATGTTAAGAATTGTAAAAAGATTCGTTTATTATTAGCACGCTTAAAATATGTATGTTTTTGGACTCATTCCCACTACCAGGTTGCCAGGTCATTGTAGTTGTATGAAGATTTTGTGAATGAACTTCTAATACATAGGTTTAACTGGATACAGTACCTCGTTGCAGTCACAGCCATCGGCATCACTGCTGCTCTCGCAAGTGTATGACCGTTTCGTCAATTCCAATGCATGTTGCCTTCATCACACGTTCAATTCGCTGTTTGTGTGGAATTTTACATACATATACATATGTACTCTACATACATTTAACTTTGAATTCAAAACGCTTAATTAGAAAAAATTGTCTGTTGAGCACTTACATTCGACCATTTTTGTATTGAAAATTGCACTATAACTTCTTTATCAGACGAGCGATTAGCTGACAGCAGGCTGCTCTTGGCAATGGACTTTTTATATTTCTAAGCATTGTGGTGTGTATACAAAATTAATTTTACAAATAATGTAAGTGCATATGTTTATGTACATATGTGCCTACATAGGTGACATATCAATCATTTAATGGCATGATGATCATGCATTTGTTATTGGAATGGAATTTGTTAATTTGCTGACGAACTGCAACTTATTTTCCTACTAACGTTTTCTCAATCCTTTTGATCTTAAGGGAAATTTACAATTTATACATACATTCCGCCTTCAAACGAATTCACTTTCTCAGCTATAATATATTTTCAGTACTTTTTTTCACTATGTTGAATATTTACCATATTTAGTTTTATTAACTAACAATCACATAACAGTTCACAAAACCCACCGTTTTCGATTGACTGATATCTCAGTATAGCAAAGTCTAGACGTTTTTCTTAAATTATTCTTAAATTAATTCCGCTTTAAACTTTAATTAACAAACCTAGCGTCGCTGCAAACATTTTTGGAGCCTTTCTTGTCTGCCAGCTTTCAGATATTTCTTCGTTTGACAAATAACTCGCTCTTCTCCTTTTCACCAATTCCACTTTATTAAATTTTCTTCGCGTCTGATCCAAGGTGGAATGAGAACTCACTGTGGACACATAGCCACACATTCATCTCACCGACAATAGAGGCAAATTGCGCTAGTATTTTACATACCTACATATATTTATACATGCATACATAGGTAATTGTTAAGTACGGGCGGTGGTTATTAAAAAGCATTTATGAGCTGGACTTTTAGGCAATAAGTGAAGAGCAGATTTTCGGAGCCTTACGTCCAAACAGAGTTAAACCCGCTGATGTGAATTTGTTTTCAATGTACTTATGTACATTGCAACAAAATGCGACAACTTTCGAGCAAGAAAGCCTTTCGTCTAAAGGAGAAAAGTGAAAAGTGTGGAAGAATATTGAATTGGTATATGGATATACATATGTATGTTGGAAATAGAAATTAACGAAATCGAGCGCGGGTTGATCCTAATAAATTCTGTGATATATGCACATATGTGATCAATACAGATTAAGGAAAATGGTTGGAACTTTGGACCTAATCAGTATGCGAATCATATACATGTTTATATATGTATGTAGGATAAGATATAATATATGTATATAAATATAATATGTTCGAAAATGAATAAACAAGGCACAAATTCGCGCGGGGCCGTCGTACTGGTTCATTGGCGAATATTTGGAGTGCAATTAAAAAGATGGTCGTAAATCAGTATATCTGGTGTATGAGACCGAGAAGAATATACAAACCGATTTCGTCCATTTTACAGACTCTCATATATTTATGTTTATTAAACTTAACATTTCAACGGAATTTTACTTACGTATGCCTATATACTACGTTCTATACTTCTTTAGTAAAACAAGATGTGAAACCAAGTGGCAGAAAGAAAATAACTCGAAAATCCTATACTTTCAGTATATTTCGTTGCAACTCACGCCCTAAGAGAGGTGTGACCGATCACCCATAGGCAAGAGTTTCGGTTAGAGTTCTTGAAAAAACTCATATAAACTTTAAGCGAAATCTTAGTACCTTAACCGAAAGTTAACCTGTTTACTACGTTGCTTTCTACGTAGCTAAATTTGGTCAAATATAATAATTTGTCAGATATGAAATGTAAGTCTAATATATATACATACATATGTACATATTCTCTTGTATGTTACATTTTGAGGTGTTACAAATGATCAATTGGTGAACAAACCCATAATACACTATGCCACATGTTTTAGACGATAACTTTATTATAGATGTTAATAAATAAGAGAATGTCATTATTGTTGTAAGACGATAACAGGCTCAGCTAGGTGACGGAGAAAAATCAACTGAGTTCTCTTAATTAGCTATGAACGTAAGAGAGCACAGTAGCTAGTTCAGTTATTTTTAGCAATATAGAAGAAGGTGGAGGGAAAGGCAGTCCGGTTTATCAAATAAAAACAGATCGGATTAGAAAAATAAAATAAACAATCGATATGTATGTATATATGTAGGTATAGATCTTCGCTTTATATGTATGTATGTAGCAATTATGACTGATTACTATGAATTTAAATGTAAAAACAAACAGTTGGACAACACATACAGTACATAACTATAACGAATTACGGCTATTGGAATGATATATAGCGGAGTGTGGAAGGTGGCACCTTGCTATTGAAGTAAGATTCAAAGTACTGGTAACTTTTTGGTATAACACATATGTATGTACATATCTGAGTGCGTATTGGAAGAGTAGCTTATGTCAAATAACTATTTGAAGATACTTTTGGTCAATAATAGTTCGTTTAATGTGTATTACTTGAAATGTTAATTTTAAAAGTTTTCATTACTCCTCCAAAAGGACTACTTGTCCTGTGACCGTTACATGTGATTAACATTTAGTCATAATAATGTGCCGTAATGGCCACAGTAACGCCATAGTCTCAAGAGAGCGACTCGTTAAATATAAATACAGAACTTACCAAATTGGTTTTGCAGTTGCGATCAAAAGCGATCTTACTCGTACAGATTATAAACGCCTTCCAACATCTCGATAATTGACCTTACAATTCTTTTCGTTGTCCCGAAATTTCTTTCCAGTTTCATTTATGCCACGATGAATCGGTAAATTTTGAGCTCACATAGCACTCACTTTGCTTAGAGCTTTTACATACTTAATGCTCTTTAACAATATGATTAATATGTATTATCAATTCCATTATTTTGTGTTGAACATAATTATTCTTATAATACAAAAATCTAAACTCAAAAAAAAAATGCCAAGAAGTGGTGAAATACATACACTTACTATACGAGGTGTGTTCAAAAAGTATCTCGAATTTTTAATTTTCGCGGGTTACGTATAGTCTAATTTCGAATTTTTTTGGCGTTATGTTGGTACCCATATCTCTCACTTATGCCGACAAGCTCGGCCAGTTTAAATGTTCATTTAATTGTTGACAGCTGCTTTGCTTGCACGTGTTTTGGATCGTCTTCGATTTTTACCTATTCAAAAAAGAACCTGTATGAAATTTTGTGTGAAAAATGAAATTAAGTGCGCGGATGCATTCCGAATGTTGACTGTGGCATACGGAGAAGCTACCTTGGACCGAAGCAACGTTTATCGGTGGTACAAAATGTTTTCAGAAGGCCGAGAAGATGTGACAAAAATTGGCTTTTGCACCACGATTTTGGCCAAACACAATACACTAATGATGCCGCAGCCACCGTATTCCCCACATCTGGCCCCCTGTGACTTTTTCTTGTTCCCTAAACTGAAGAGGCCCATGAAAGGACGACGTTACGCTTCTCTTGACGAGATAAAGACGGCATCGAAGGAGGAGCTGAAGAAGATAAAAAAAATTATTTTTTGAAGTGCTTCGAAGATTGGAAAAACCGTTGGCACAAGTGTATAATATCTTATGGGGATTATTTTGAAGGGGACAAAATAGATATTCATGAATAAATAAATAATTTTTGAAAAAACAGAAAATTCGCGATACTTTTTGAACACACCTCGTATATGTATGTACATACATGTATATATGTAAAAATTTGATTTTTAGAATTACATAAATACATACAAGTACATATGTATGTATGTACATATAAATGTAAAATGTGAAACACGTGTCCACAACTGTGTGATAAAAGAATTACAAAGTTGGCATTAAAGTGTAAATATAATAAAGCACACGAAAATCGTAAGGAACAAGAAACCCACTAGTCGGTGAGTCATTGTTCAACGCTTTTACGAAGCACTCCCTAGCGTATGTTTGTGTTTTTTCGCCTAACCATCGTAATGGACAATCTTCAGTTAATTTTACTTCCGCTCAGATTTTTTCGAATTTGTAAATTATCAATCAATTGGATTGTAAAGATATTTATGATATATGTATGTATGAAAAAAAATCAAATTTAAATGGTCACCCAAATTTCTAGCATGTAAAGTATATTCAGCGAACGTGTGGAAGATTTCTTTGGCATATAAAGGGACATCCTCGTTATTTTTAACAGCAGTTAATAGCGACACATCTATTCGATCTCATGATCTTTTGTTCGGTTTTTCCTGCTTTGCCTTCCTGATATGCACTAAACGCAGACTAATTGTTGATTCTAAATAACAAAAAGAAACCTCACCGCCCTCACCGACATCACGCGAGCAGCAATAAGCAACATCAAATCAAAAACAACAGCAGCTAACGCATTATAAGAGTGTAACGCATTTTCTGATTTATTGATAAATCGGTTGTTCGCCGTTCAGTCGCTCAGCAGTTCGTTCGATGGTCTGTCACTGTGCTCATATCATAAATATGCCTTCTTTAAAAATATAGCAACTCATTTATTGTTTGCGACGATCGGCAAATTTCGTAAAATAAAGTGAACGTTGCTCGTTTTTCACAAATTAGTAATAACCAGAATCCCACCACTTTGCTCTTCCAACAAAAAGCTGAAATTGTTCACCGGTGGCGGGAGCATACGGAGAAACAGCAAACATCAGATGATTTGTTTATTGGTCGGTATATTGGCACATACGTAAATTCCTACGCCACTTATACGTCACCTCAAGTTCGTCGGCAATCGACAGCTGGCGCACAGTCGTATAATACTGAATCGTAGAACCGCATTCAGACATTGGAAGAAACAGAAAGTGCGATGTAAATATTCATACAGAGTACATACCCTATGTCGAGTCCAAGCTCAAAGTCAACTTATCACTTACCCGACGATTGTGGCAATTTAGGAAAATTAATATTATTAATGAATTAACGCATACCAAAACTTCATACACATATATTTTTATATTCAGTATTCGTAATAATAACACAAACACAAACTCAAAAACAAAAACCAAAAGCATTGACTTCGCGTTCTGTAAAAAAGGAAAGGAAGCTATCGCCAACTACATAGCACATCAGTTACTTTCCAACACTATTTAACAAAAACCAACATTTCCTTTCCATTCCTTCATGGTTGGGACAACTACATTCAAGTGAATTAAAGCCATACATATATACACTCTGAACTCGGCCTTACAACGACTCTCAGTACTCTTACTAATGCGAGACAGTCAGAGCACATCGGTACGACCACAGCATTGCTAATGAGCAGTGTGGAGCAAGGTAAACAAACTGCAGCAAAAACTTAAAAATGTACGCACACAAATAGTATTGAAGCAGGTCTAGCCAGCTTCCTCCCCCCGACAAGCCTTAATATTCGTTCACACAGTTGTAAAGTGGTTCGATAGGAGGAACAAGAGCAGCAGTTGTCAGGCGATAAGCCCAGCCATTGAAATACTATATCACTGAAGTTGTTCTTGGGAACTGGGGTGTAGGCGGCGACGGTGTTAATAGTACAAATAGCAAACGCACACGCAGCGATGGCAGCCTCAACATCGGATAACTACAAAGTTCCCTCGACAAGTAAAATTTCTGTAGATAAACTGCTGCGAGTTGGCTATTATGAACTGGAGAAGACGATTGGCAAAGGAAATTTTGCAGTTGTGAAGTTGGCGTCGAATATTGTCACTAAATCAAAGGTAAATACACAAATTTAGTATAAGGTAATTAATTTTTCGTTCATATTTTAATTATTATAACCTCCATCGAAAATGTGGCATCTTTTCTTGACAAAATGCCTCACCATTTTCATCTCATATATAAATATGTATGTATATGCTGCCCATTGTTTTTGCTTGTATATGCTTTGCTGTACACATACTTACATTACATGTACAGGTATAACTTAAATGTGTACTTCCAAGAAGTAATACTTAATTCGTTGGTCATTGGGAGAGTCTTGAGTTGGGAGTAGGTTAGGTTTAACTTATTATGACGACATGAATACGATCATGAAATTTTGTTTTGATATCTGGATTGTCTTCTTTCACTACCATTGGCGGAATAATGTATACAAGGGAATTATCAAATGACAACCCTACTAAGTTTCAAAGTTGTATACCTCATTTTTATTATTTCAGTAAATTATGTTGATTTTAATAAAAATATTTGGACGACGAAAAACTAACGAAACTAAAGGTGTAATACCCACAATAATCATATTTATATTCTATATGTACGTCAATCAAATACCAAATCTGATCCATTAAACAAAAACTTATAAAGTACATTAAACTAAGAAATAGAACTGTAAGATTGGAGTAACAAGGGACACCTGAGACAAGAATTTTGAAAAAATGTGCGTGACCCCGTCCTCAAACACGTTTAGTGAATATACATATTTCCCAAAAATTCGCTAAGGCCAAATCCCTTAAACACTTCCACCGGATGACGATGGAGCAGACGTTCCATTGCCCGAACATAAAGAAGTTCGAATAGCATTTTCCGCCTGAAGATCAACAAAGCGGCTGGGGCCGATGGATTGCCGGCAGAGCCAGATCTTGGAAAAGACCCGTGAAAGAAGAATCGACACATACCACCTCTTCGTCGATTTCAAAGATGCTTTCGAAAGCACGAAAAGGTGCTGTAAATGGTATCCCCGCAAAACTAATACGGCTGTGTAAACTGAAGTTGAGCAACACCAAAAGCTCCGTCAGATACCAAACGAGATTTCAGACAAGGCGACTCCCTACCATGCGTCTTCTTCAATATACTGCTGGAGAAAATAATTCGAACTTGCAGAACTTAATCGAGCAGGTACAATCTTTTATAAGAATGTACAGCTGCTGGCTTATGCCGATGATATTGATATCATAACTTGAAGTCGTAGATTATTTCGTCTATCTWGGAACCAGCGTAAACACTACCAACAATGTCAGCCTGGAAATCCAATGCAGGATAACTCTTACCAACAGGTGCTACTTCGGACTGAGTAGGTTATTGAGAAAGAAAGCCCTCTCGACGAACAAAAACCAAATTCTATATGTCACTCATTATTCCCGCCCTGCTATATGGTGCAGAGGCCTGGACGATGACAAAAACTGATGAGTCGACGTTGCGAGTTTTCTAGAGAAAAGTTCTGCGAAAGATTTATGGTCCTTTGCGCGTTTACCCGAATATCACACTCGATCTAACGATGAGCTATATGAGATATATGTATGACGACATTGACACAGTTCAGCGAATTAAAAGACAGCGGCTGCGCTGGCTAGGTCATGTTGTCCGAATGGACGAAAACACTTCAGCTCTGAAAGTATTCGACGCAATACCCGCCGGAGGAAGCAGAGGAAGAGGAAGACCTCTACTGCGTTAGAAGGACCAAGTGGAGAAGGACCTGGCTTCGTTTGGAATATCTAATTGGCGCCACGTAACGAAAAGAAGAAACGACTGGCGCGCTGTTTTTAACGCGGCTATAATCAGGTAAGCGGTGTCTACGGAGACTCCCACCGGCACTGTAAAAATAAAGGAAATCTTACTGAAAATGAAAGAGCGTATTTCCTAAAAACAATGTAGCTTTGTGCTTAAAATTAATAAAATCTTGTGATAACTTGCTCCAGACATCTAATTAATAAACCGTATGTACCAGAAGATGAAATTTGCAAGAGTATGAAATGTTCGGTTACACCCGAACTTAGCCCTTCCTTACTTACATTTAGGTGAAAATGTATATTTCCAAACCTACTCGTTACAATCGAAGTTAGCCTTCTTTACTTGTAAGCAATAAAAATGTAGTTTTCCAATCATAATTAGGGTTCTGCGCACCTTTTTCTCGCAAACAAAGATATAAAGATCACACGTACTCCACTCTCAGCTACGAATGGAATATCCAATTGGTGCACATAGCGAAAAGAAGAAACGATTGGCGCGCTGTTGTTAACTCGGCTATAATCGCGTATGCGGTGTCTACGCCAATTAAGAAGAAGAAGACTCCATTCTCAGGCTTCTAAAAAGCTAAAAGATGGAATATTTATACAGCGGTAATTGGAAGATACAGAAGAGAACTGTTCTGGAAAGCTTTGTGCTGATAGTCGATAATTTCCTAAATATGGTTATTTACGAAAACAAATCTTACAAACCATCGATAGGGCAACAAAATCACTGTGGACCAGTGTAATGATAATTAAAAGTTGTAATACAACTAAACACTTTCGACTATTTATCGACCATGCTTACACCAAACATAAGTAGTCCAACCATATTAATCCATATTAACAGTAACGTAAAAGGTTCAATATTTCAAATATATAAATTGTAAAGTATTAATTATATACATATGTATGTATGTATACTACTCGCCTATGATAGCTGATGTATGCAGTCGTGGCTACATACATATGTATGTATATAAACATACAAATTAGGTTTACACCAGTTCTTAGCGTTGAAATGTGTGATAAGGAAAATGATAACAGAATGTATGTATACAATGTTTTAACCAAACTGTTTCCAATAATTTTCGCAATATTAAAAAAGATGTAGAAATCATGTTAAGTCATGTGAATGAGACTGTTTGCACGATCAGTCTGAATTTAGAGAGCTGATGTGACATTGCGTCTTATTATAGCATTATTGATTTCAACCTTTAGGAAAGGATTAACATACCGGCTTTAACCGTATGAAAACATAAAGAACCAGAACTGCCGCCTTACAAGTCAATTATTATGGTAGTAAAAAGCAACAAATTGAGAATTGAACTACATATGTATATGTTCATACTTATCATGCTCTCTAGAATAAGAGTAATTCGTTAATTTATCCGATGCTAAGAGTTTGATTCTTATTTCAAATAGTGCTGAACTTTTGGTTAGTTGGGTTGTTTACGCACATGGTTTTATGACCCCAACGTACAAACAGAAATAAATGAAACGATCCCTAACTTAAATAAACGCTCAAATTTAGAGATACCCAGACATACATAGATTCATATGTGTGTATACATTGTCAATTATGCTTTTATATGTTACACATTGAAAAGAGTAGCTTAGCGGCCACGAAGAAACCCCACATTACTCGTATACTTGTATCCTAAGGATCAATGCCAATATTACTTTTAAATTCCACTAATTAAAGACTTTTTAAGAAATAAGTGTTCATACATATGGACAATTCATAGTCAACGATTAAAGTTAACAAAGTTTTAAAAAAAGGAAATCTAAACCCCGAAAAATGAGGAATAATGTTTGTTTTCATTGCAATGCGCCATCTTTGTGGTTCCTTTTTTTCCAACCATTGATTTCATTTCAATATTTTCCCGAGTAATTCTCTCACCTTCTGTCATTTTTGTATACACTTGTATTGTTATCACCATTAATTTTTGTTTTTGTTCCTTCTTCTTATTTTGTTTTCATTGTTTACTTTACCGTTTCGTTGCTCCTATTTCGTTCGCTATCAACGATAGATAAGACAAATATTCATATTGTTTTTTTGTTTTTTACCATGATTTATAATATATATTTATACATAAGGAAGGGCTATGTTCGAGTGTAACCGAACATTTTAGGGTGTCCGCAAAGTGAACTCTCCAAGCCGAACCGAGCGTATATGAGTGTGTGGAGTAAATGCGTTCGGCTCTACTTGGCTTTAAGCGTCCACGATGCCGGCACCCTTACGTTCTCGCAACTTGCAAGAATAAATCGGAGGAAAATATGACCGATATTGGGGTCAATCGATTTTGGCAATTTTTGGTCATAAATTGACACAGCTTATGCCGATATATTCACTGATACTTGATTCGTAGTAAGCGTGGTTGTCTACCGAACTCGCCCGATTTTTCCCACTAACACTAATTGCTTAAATTTATCAAGTAGTTCATGAGATATAGGATATCACCTAAAAGTGGGCGGTGACACGTCCATAGTGCAATTTTGACGCCGTTTTCTATAAAGCAACGTCGTATCATCTTTATGTATCTAGCGTATTTATTAGACTTATCGCACTTACTAGTTACTTACAGAACCGTTATATGGAGATTGAACGAAGTTATAATTTTTCACAGAATGGATAGGATACAGTAAAAAAAAAATATCACGTTGGATCACATACAATTTGTTAATCGCTCAAAAACAGGCTCGTGTCGATTGGTCGAGAAGCATGTTAAAAAAAAGATAGCGCTGCTTCAAAACCTGCCTGAAATTAAACAGTTACTGTATTATTGTTTCAAGAGGAGCCGAATCCAACAAAAGTCGTTCGCGCACGAACACTTCCAAACAAATGTATGCCTGGTTTTTTTGGAAGAACTCGACATGTCGCAATTATACCACTATAGAACAGCAAATTCTAAGTGCCACACAACTATTTTCCTCCTGTTGCATTTAAAAAAATCGGGAAATCGGTACTCTTCACCACGGCAATGCGAACTTTCATACATCGACTGAAACAACTCATGGCACTGATCAAAATCCATTGAGAATCGGTTACATAACGAGCACGTTTTAATGAATGGGCCACCCCTCACAGTAGCAGCATCTTAACCTCGGGTTATTCTAAGGAGGTTGTTAAGGGCTGCTTAGTACACAAATAATAACCATATGTTGGAGAGAGTTTAGAATAATTCGGACTATTAGGGTTATGGGCCAAACTAGTAGCATCCGTATCTCGAGATGTCAAAAATTGAAGGGGGCTACCATAAAATATTAAATGTTATTAAAATTGTACTAGAGGTTGATTTTTTTTTATGCCCTGAACAGGGTGTATTTAGTTTACCACAAAGTTTGTAAAACCCACAACGAAAGGTCGAAGACTCTATAAAATATCATCGATTCGACCAAAATGTCTTTGACATGGCACCTGTTAAGGGTATTGTAGGTGAAGGCGAAGTTCTTTTTTTAAAGAAGCTAAGAATACCCGGGAATTGTAAATAAAACGCAAAATATTTAATTATTCATCAATATTTGTTTTTTCGCCTTCAAAGTAATTTATGCCAAAAATTTTTAAATCCTCAAAACAATTTTCAAGATCAATTTGAATAGATAAATCTGGTGAATATGGTTGTTAATCGATGGTATTCATTGCATTTTTGCCTTAAATTAGTTCGCAATCGTACTCCTTTTGAAAAAAAAATCAGCTTTATGGGGAACGCGTTTCATACTCAAAATATTCACCAAAACATTCGAATGTACTCGGGAGAGACGTGGAGCTCTCTTGCCATCTCTCTAACACTTTCCTGTCAATATCATTCAATTTTTGAACATCTGTTGCAGAGTTCGATGGTCCCCCATAACGAGGCTTGTCTTCAACGATCTCTCGACCGTCTTTGAAGGCTTTGTACCACTCGTAGGATGGTCTTTTAAAGAAACAGAATCACCGTAAGCCTTTTCCAACATTCCCAACGATTCCGCACACGAAATTTGGTTAGAAATATAAAATTTTAGAAAAATTTCTTTGTTCCATATTTTTATTCATTGACGTTGACATTAAAGATGACAACGCACTACTGAGGTGTAACGACTTAAGCCGCTGCTGTGAACAAACTGGTTGACAAATCGCGCTCATATTTGGCATAGTAATTAAGGACAGTCCTATCAACTTAGCAAAATACATTTTTTAAATACTTATCATTTACTCGGGGAATTTAATTACAATTTCCGGGTGCTCTTTTGTAACAATGTATATGCCTTTTGGTGTCAATTAAACCACTGTAGCTCTGAAAAACTCTATGCATGCGAATTCGTGCGTTTAAACAAGCCACATCTAGACTAAAAGTAAAAATATAGTAAATATATATGTCCATATCTAGTAAAACATTTATTATTGTTATTGCTCATTTTTTCTCAACAAGTTGCAAATTTATAAATTATACACGAGGTAATACTATAGCAAGTTATGCACACACTAGTACAGTGAAATAAGTATATGTGTTCTCATATAAATAAGAGCATCTGAATACTCTCGAATGAATACAAAGATCGTTGGAGCTGTGTGGACATTGTGTGGTGGTCATTCATACTAAAGAAATCACTTTCATAGACGCTGGCATACATATGTACACAAAGGCATTTACATACATACATATATGTATATGTATGCGGCAATTTAATTTTCACATAGGTAATATCATTAAATTCATACATTTAGAGTTTTTACACATAGATACCTCTTGATAAGGGATGAGCACGGACAGGTGATAAAAAGGAATTTCTGCACGCAATTAAACTTTTAGCGGGAGCGATAAGAAGCGTTCGTGGTTGTTTCTTCACAATGTATACGTATAGTATACAAATACATATATAGGAAAGACTAAATCAGAACAATAATGAATAGTGTTTATCTTCATTTCAATATTCGTCTTTAATACAATTTTGTGTGAGTTCCGAAATAGTCTACCAATTGACTGGAGTGATTGGAGCCGTTTTACGACCAGACCATTCTATGATGTATACATGTATAAAATTTCAACAGATGTCATGACCGATATTTCCGCTTTGTTATCGATTTCTGGAAGTTTGAAAAGTGACTGTCTTCAGATTTCGCCCATTTTCGCAGTAATTATAAGAATATTTGGATGACTCTACGCCCTAAATTTGGTTGAACTTAGTCATGTTGTTCCTGAAATATTAAATTTCTGCTGCTTGTGAAATTAAAAGCTTAGTACCTCATTTATTCAGTTTCTTATCACCCTTATACAACATAAACGTTACCCACTTCGTGGTTATTATGTGTATGATTTTATCCATTTTCACAGTGTATTAAAAAGTACTAAAAAAAATTTGGAAGATAGATACATTAAAACTTTACCGAGCAGGGCCACGCCCACTTGCTATATGTTTTCTACTTGTGGGCGTGCTTTCTACTTTATGGGCGTGACAATGTACCGATTCGGTCCATCTATAGTACTAGCGAATACATGTACGAAGTTTCATCATATCTTAGTTTTTTCTCGAGTTCTCGCCTGCATGGACGGACAGACAGATAGTCGCTCGGAAGTCAAACAAAGCTTATATTTTTTGTATGAGAAAAACGTCAACCAGAAGATTAAAATTACTATATTAGAAATGTAAGATTTAGACGAAATTTATTCATATTCAGGGCTTAACCTGTTAAGGAAGATGGAAAACCAGAGATCACATTATCGAGTATATTGCTTTACGATTGCTTTACGATTGCTTTAACCTTTGGTATAATGAAAATCATGGGGCGAACTGACTTTACACATTTTCGGCGTTTTATAGTATATCCAATATTTTATGTTCATTTGATTTTGCTTAGCTATCTTACATGTTGACGGATATGCTTATATGGTATAGTGCCAACAGGAAACTGAAATACTAACATTAGGTATATTAAGTCTAGATGAGTATTCATATGAATTGATCCATTTTAGGCACAAGAGATACTTTCCTAGTTCCATTGAGATAACTCATATATTGAGCAATATATGCGGAATAAAATCAATCTGAAGTTCCAAATCTTTTATATGACGTATATGTGGCCTAGGAGTAGTTTTGACCCGATTTTATACCTTGTTGTCATAAGGGCACACTATTATACGCAAATGGTTCTTCTGAACTAAATAATATATCTCAGAAGATTATTCCGATATCTAATTAAGTACTGATTTCTATGAGTACAATGTAAAATGAAAGAATCAGATGGATTTTAAATTTTTAACAAGAAAAGTATACATGGTTGTTACTCATTTTTACAATAGGGGTATTCACTTTCTCTTGCATAACCCTTGCATGGTGCACGAATTGCAGATATTTCCTCTTGGTGCACCGGCACAACAACAAACACACGCAGAAAATTATTTGCAATGGCTGCGAAATATGTCAGAGAAACATTTACAAATTTAATCATTTGTAGGGGAAGTTATTATGGTATACTGCCGAAGGGAATCCGAAACATAATGTATATACATCGAAAGTTTACAAAGAATTTGTAAAGAGCGCAACTTAGAATGTTTATTAAGGCATTTAACTATATTTTCTGAGAATACTTTTTAATAGAAGACACTATTTTAGTTTCGATACACATATAGGTAAACTTGCGGTATTTTAGGCTTAAATGTAGTAATTTATTTTATAAACAAAAAATTAATTTAGTAATTTAGTTCACCAACGGAACGCGAATTGAGACGAATAACATATTTGTGTCAATCCATATCAATCCATATATTACATTCCAATCATTTAAATATATACACATTCATTTATACTTGCTAAATAAAAATAGAGTTTTAATTAAACACGACATAAATAAATATATATATGTATGCTTTCAGATTCTTTATTTGTTAAACTTGTAATTTATTATTTCAAACATTCACGATAACTTTATTGTCGCGCTCTATCTTTTCACACTCATCGCGCAGTTTTTCCAATTCCTTTTCGTTTTTGTCGCACAGTCGTATTAGTTGAGTATTTGTGTTAATAATGCGCTCACGCAATTCCGGCAATGAGCATTGGCTCAAACGCTGGGGCTGAACATCTTCGCGTATGGAGCCGACCACTTGGCGTAATTCTTGTACTTCACAATAACAGTTGTTCCGATAAGTTTTCAAGCTGTCTTCTAAATACGCTTTAAGGGTTTCAATTTCATTTATCATTTGTAATGTTTTATTGTTTTTACTTCTTCCGCTAATCGGTGGATCCTCATAGTGAGTCGCATTTAACTTGGCCTGATTACATTCGAGATACTTTTGCTGAGACTTAAGACGTGTCAGCTCGCAAAGAAGCGATGTGTAAGATTTTTTCTTACGCAAGCCCAGCTCGGCATTGCCGACGACTTTTGTTGCTCTTTGTGAAGGCACTGCTTCTAAACCTGTTGTGTGTCCAATTGAATCGGCAGCCGTTTTAGGTTTTGAATTATGAATTTTCCCCGCGACCCTCATTGTTTTCCAGCTGTTTGATTTTTGCCAAGTCGATTTTCTGATTTCGTGATTTTTTGCCTCTTAAAAATTTCTGCTCGTATCTATTTGTCACGTGCAGATTCATGTGCCTCATACGTTTAGAACAATTGTCCACCCGAACTCAAATGAGCTAAATTTACTTCAACCCTCTTTTCATACAGTCTATCTTTAATAGCCTGGTTAAACGAGTGATTACCTGTTGTTTCGGTCCCTTCTTATTTACGGAAGGTAATCAAATCCAATCCCGTTGCCACTACCAACTGCAATCTCCTCACGCCCGTTTAGTTTGATTTGCCCAACACTTATACAATTACATACATATATTGAAGTTGAAACCCGCGTGAATAGTTGCTAGCCACTCTGTCCTAGAAATATAATCGCATTTCCCCGGTCGTCGAAATGTTGCAAGGCTACTCACTCTTTTGTGTAGTGGGTAGTTTAATCGATAGGTGCGCGCGTTCTGTAAAACTGTTATTTTTTTGCCACCTTTTACTTTTACGATTATTTTACTTTTACATTTTAGCTTTAGTTTCGCTTCTTATAGTGGCCTCTCGGTTTGCCATAAATTGATGATATTTTCGCTACAATGAGCTTTTGATGCTGTGGTTGATTCACCACTGCTTATTTTTGCTTTCCTTTGATTTCCTACTTTCCAAATAATTCAAATAAAAACTGGTGTAAGCTCTCTTGCCTGAACCCGATTCGGTTTCATCTGGTTACATTTGGATATTTCAACTCTATAGTTTGAAAATTCCTTTCTTGTTTTGCTTAAAAAATATTGTTTTCTTTTCTTTCTTATTGAATAATATTGAAACTTGAAATTTAGTCCAAAGGTTGCTAAACCTTTTTGTTTCACAGAATTGCTCGGTACCAGGCAAATGCGCAGTCGAAAATACAAACAAATAAACAGTTATCTTTTAAAAAACAGTTATTTGCAATGTGAAAGTTATATCCTGCTATAATAGCGGGCTTTGGAGAATGTTGAGTCTATAGAGAACACATGTGCCTATAGAGAAATTACGTAAAGTTTGGAAACTGCTTCGTCTACCGATCAAGATTTGTCAGTTCCAATTGTGACGACACTAATACTTTGTCAATCCGCCACCTGACCTCATTGCCGTTGCATTGAAAAATTATGCAAATATCCACGCTCTGCAGTACCCAACGTAAGCGAAGGCTATAAACGAAACGTGGAAAACATATATGTATATTTAAATCTATTTTTATAATTTACCACACACTTTTGAAGTTCAAACGACAAAAAGTTGTCCTTTCAAAAACACACATCAGCCTATTTAGGCCTATGGCTGTTGGCGATAATCTCTAGTAACGTGTGTAGTCTAGTCCTTAAAGTACGGAAACATTGAAAATATGTCCTCCAACTTGTGACTCCTGCCGCATTGTACGAGTGTTTTATATTCAGATACGTAAACATATACATGTAAATTGGGGTGTTTCATTTACACCTTTTTTTATGTCTTAGCGGCCACATGAAAATTTCGTATTTATCTCAAACAAAAATCCCTTCATTTTGCATTTGAGTTTTTGGAGTTTTCACGTTTTTCGCCTATTGTTGAAAAAATTAGCGAACGGCTGGTTTTTTCGAAATCTAGCAAAGAATACGGTATAAGAAATTAAATTTGGACAAAACAAGTCTATTCGATCATACAAATGCTTTGTTTCACAGATATAAGCGATTTTTCCTCAGGAAGTTCTTCGATAGGAACAGCTGTTCACTAATTTTTTTCAATAATATGTGAAAATCGTGAACTATTTACATGAAAGTACTCAAAGTCAAAATTAAGACCCCAAATTTGCAGGGATTGTTTTCAACGTAAAAAACACAATTTTCATGTGTCCGCCAGGAAATAAAACAGCTTTTAATAAACACCCTAATGTACATACATATGTATGTTTTGTATTTACCTTTCCTTACCTTAGATATGTTAAACATAGACACATCCATATATATACACGTGTATGTATTTACAGTGGTTATTTCAAAATTTTACAACTACGATAATTTCAAAAAGAGTCCTGATATGTGAACACACATGCATGTGTGCATTTACAAATGTAAAACTATTTGTGGGTTGTTTTGGCAAACAATTCGTATTTTCAGAAAGCAAAATCATATAATTACATAATTGTCGTCACCAGTGTTAGTCATGTTCTAATCGATAATGGCACTGCTCATACTTGTATATACACATGATCCGATCGAAATTTTTGAAATATGACCAAATGTCCTTCCCGCTTCGCTGCTAAGTACGATCACTTGAGTCTTTACAAATTTTTACATAGAATGTTAGATTATCTTAAGAACATAATTCAAATGGCGCGGTGAGAGAGAGTGTGTTTTATAATGGTGCATATTCGTGCTTAGAATGAAGAGAATCGAGTGAAAATTCGCCCTAGACCCCATATAACTAATCAGCCTTATGTACCTGAAAGGAGCCCTCTACCTTGAATCCTTTCAAGATGCAAGAGATGTTCGGTTACACTCGTACTTAGCTTTTCCATACTTGTTTATCTTTATTTTCAAAAATACAAGTTATGAGAACTTTATACTTATACTTATATATATATATATATAGTATTTTTGATGATGCTGCAGGAGAGACAAAAAACTGCCAAATGTATTTGTGTAAGAAATATATATATATATATATTCCATTCACTAGCTTTCATTCACTTTCATACCGATTTGGTTAATGGAAGCCCAAAGAAGGTTTAAACGTTGAGAAAGTATGGGAAAATTGCGAAGAAAATACCAAAATCGGTTCAGTATTTTTAGAATTATATGAATATGTACGATTTTTCTCGCTAAAACTCGAGAAAAGCTAGAATATGGAAAATTTCAAAACCTATACAATATAAAAAAATAATTTCTTTTGGTTAGTCTCGCTAAAGCTCAAGAAGAGCTGGACCAATTTGACTAATTTTGGCCTTGAATTAATTTCCCGAGATAATTCCCCGAATTGCGTTCTTTAGTGAGTGACAATGGAGTAGATAGTCTTAGAATACGACGAACAACATAATTTAATTGATAAATTCCGCAGACGCAGTTAAGTATACTTATATGTATTATGAGAATTTGTAAATATTGAAAGTCGTTAAACTACAGTGATGAATCTACTAGATTATGTTGTGCTGAAGGCAAAGTAAAATTGCCACAATTAAATAAATAAATAAAAAAATTGGTCCTTCCACCATACCCTTTGAGCTCTTTAGTCAACATTCAAAAATGTAAGGGGTACTCACAACCCGTTGTAAAGCATCGCAAAATCGTAAAATTATAAATTTTTGCAATTGTTTAAAAAAATTTTACTTGAATTTCATACAAAAATGAGTTTACATCGCAATGCTAAGTTTTCGAATCATTATAACTTAAAACATTATAAGACTTGTGAAAACCCTAATAGTAATTGTTTCCAGGCGATACCCATTTGGCGGTACACATATTATACAGAACTATTTCTTTATATAAATCGCAAGGTTAGTTGTTGGAAGTTTACGAGATCAACTTGGAGGTGCCTTGTTTCGCGGCGTGACAATTATAGGTCGCATATTCGGTCGTCGGAAACCCTTCATTATTGTCTTTGTATATTAAATTGATTAACAGACTGTATCATAACTGTGTATGTCTGTCAATATGAAACTGAAACCTTATAAATATCCAGTATTTCAGGAAAACTCTGTTTTGTAAATAAGCAACATCATGTGCAATTAATGGAAAATAATAATAATGCTTGATTCATATTTCATAATTTAAAAATTTAGGTCTTTTATTTATCATCATTTATTAATCAGTAAAAGGTTTGTCCGGTCGATTAGTACATAAAATATACAGTGGCTTAAAGCAATAATGAAACAGTTAGAAAACATGTTAACCTAAAAAAATGTATTAATTATATAAAAATCTACTTTAAAAAGTGGTATATAATCAACAAAAAAACTGCAATAATATAAACTTCGGTTCAAAGAAATAATGCTAACTTACACCGGTCAACTAAAAAATTTCCTGCTCAAATACTGAATACAGAGATTGAAAAAACTGGAATTTTTATTTTCAGCAATTGACGAATGACCCTGATTTGCCCATACGATACCATACCATATAGAAATGTGGAAAAACTTCTAAGAAAGCACATTATTAAAGCAAGAAAATCCTTTATTTTTGGTGTAGGAGAATCTAATAATTTACATGCAGGTCCAAAAATCATGTCGACCGGTATTATAAAACCATGATTCAATATAAAAAAAAAATAAAGAAACACCTTGTAGCTTGGCGTAAATTCGAACAGAAATTAACTTCAGTTTAATTCCAAATTCAATAAAAAAACAAACGCAAACCCAACATATGCTTAGAAAATACCAATTCAATGGTAGAAGAATGGAATGGAAGAAACCATTTGTGTAATACCTATATATAGAAGAAGAGGAACTTTGCTAAAAACGCAAATCTAATTAAGAGCCAACAAAAGAGAACCTTTATCCTACGTTAAAAGGCGGCTTTGGTTCTGTGCGGTATCTGCTGGTGGACCGAAAAATGTTCGTATCATCGCAGGAAATATGGATAAATTTATTATATGAATCTTTTGAAAAACCATGTAAAATAAAGTGCGCGAAAGTTGGGAATAGAGGACGAAGTTATTCCACAAGCACAAGGCTTAAGTCGTACGTTGTTGGCTCTTTTACCCCCCTTTGTCCCCCTGTCTTCTAGCTTGTTCTTGAAGTTGTTTTGTTAGTTACTATTGTGGTCATATACCACTTTTAAAATGAATTTCTAAATAATTCTAATAAATTCTAGAAAACTAGGCATTTGAGTTAAATTATAGCTTTTCTAACTGTTGCATGATTGCTTTGATGTTTGTTTATTTAAATATATGTATATTACATGTATGTACTGTACATGTGACAACTTTCCTTCTTTTCAACTTTTAGGTAGCGATTAAAATCATTGATAAGACTTGCCTTAATCGGGAGTACCTAACCAAAACATTCCGCGAAATTTCCATTTTAAAATCATTACGTCATCCACATATTACCCGCCTCTATGAGGTGATGCAGTCAGAAACGATGATCTATCTTGTCACCGAATATGCTTCAAACGGTGAGATATTCGATCATCTAGCAGAGAATGGACCCATGAAGGAGCTCGAAGCAGCGCGTGTATTCACACAATTAGTCTCTGCTGTGCAATACTGTCATTCTATGGGTGTAGTGCATCGAGATCTCAAGGCGGAGAATGTGCTACTCGATAAGGATATGAACATAAAGGTGTGATTACATTCCTTTGCACTTACATTTGCAATTTATGTATATATATTTCTAAACGCTTTAAATAGCTTGCCGATTTTGGCTTCAGTAATCGGTACGAAGAGGGCAGTCCATTAACTACATGGTGCGGTTCACCACCATATGCCGCACCTGAAGTTTTTCAAGGTCTGGAATACGATGGACCTAAAGCGGATATCTGGAGCCTGGGTGTCGTGCTATATGCTTTAGTGTGTGGTGCATTACCTTTCAATGGTGACACGCTACTAGAATTAAAAGGACGGGTAGTTACTGGAAAGTTTCGCATTCCCTACTTCATGTCACGAGGTAAATTAAAGTTTCCAATTGCAAATCAGAGGTATCATGACTCATTTAATTTTGTTGACACAGATTGCGAGCACCTATTACGTAATATGTTGGTAGTTGAGCCGGATCGCCGATATACATTGAAACAAATTATTAAACATCGTTGGCTTAGCGATTGGGCAGCGGAACTGAACGACATCAGTGACAGCATTGGGGGATGTAGCAGTGGCACCAACGCCGCAGCATATACCCAACAGGCGGAAAGTAATTCACTTGTTCAAGGCGACACCAACATTAGTATTCATCCGCATGGATCCGTGGCTGTTGCTAATCTGGATACAGAGATAATGAGAAATATGCTGCAGTTGCCCGGACTGACTGCCGATATGATTGCTGAATCGGTGCATAACCAACGATTCGATAATATATATGCCATCTACAATTTGCTTGCCGACAAACTGCAACAAAAGCGGCGTGAGCATCATAGGATGCAACATCAAGCCGTTTATTCAAGGTACATTGAGCATTGCTTCTATTCATTTTCAGATAATTGCTTTAATCTAGCCAGTTAAACATTAACGTAGAATATGACGGCTTTGTTTTGCGTTTAATGTTGAGCTAACACGGCTTCTGCTCTTATACCATCAGATTACGCAAAACCAGCATTACTACGGGTGTTGTCGACCGTTCTGAACCGATTAAGCAGGAATCGATTGATCGCTTGAGTCCGCTGACCAACACAAATGGGCTGCAAGGCGGCTTAGGCTTCCAATGGACTAATGTTGCGGTGGATTTGGAGAAATTTGGCGACTTTGAATTGGAATGTCTGGCGCGACCAAATGAGGTCAGTAAAGGCACATTACTCTCTGCATTATGAAATATAATCTAATATTCAACATTTCAGCCACATAATCAAAATCATTTGTGTGCCAATGCTAGTGGAAACGGTGGTAATACACGGCGACACACTGTCGGACCTGGTGATGTGGCACACGAGCAAGCACTTGCCAATCCAAATGTGCCACCAATCAATTTTAAATGTTCTCCTGAAAATAAGGATGAGACTGGCCCATACTTGCCAATGAACTTGCCAATGTTACAGAATCAACCTTTGCACAATTTAACTGTTAAGGATCAGCATCTTTTGAAACCTCCAATGGTGATGGGTGCAAGTATGCATAATAAATAGTTCACATTCTTGTCTATTAATTGTATGTTTATCTACTTAGGTTCATTTGGACGTCGGGCATCAGATGGTGGTGCAAATCTGCATATTTATTATCCCTCGACGGGGAGTAATACACACCAAGTAACTGGGCAAACGCAACAGATGGAAGGAAACACATACTATATTAACCCGAATGTAGCTAATACGAGCGGTTTGACTGGGGCCTCCACCGATAGACATACAGTACACGGTATGCGTGAGCAAACCCATTTATCTCAATTGGGGGTGGGAGATACTGTTAGCGAGGAGAACAGCGAGGAGATACAAAAGTAAGTACAAATAACTCAGTGAACTCAAAAGTTATTTGCTATATTTTAAAATTTCGGAGGTTTAGATATGATTCGCCTCACGGTATATGAAACTTCAAAGAACTTTATACGTAAAGTGCTTGCTTGTAAAGAATTTCAAAAATATCTCATAGAGATTCTAAAAGATATTTTAAAAAATGTATTCAAATTATTGTTAAAAAAAATTGTTCATTTTACATACACATAACGAATGTCAGATATATTCAAATTCGTGGAAAACGACACACAGTCAGTTGCGCCGAAGACCTATCAATACAGCACCATCCGGGCGAAACTTGTCCAGTTTGTGGTGTATATGAACCGCCTCTAGTGCCACAAATTCCGACAATCTTGTCATCACAGTCGGGAACTGGCGGAACAAGTAGTGGTGGTGGAATGCGCACGCGACGTACCGGTCTACTTACAGTTACGGAACGCCCGCCAGGTTAGTTGAAAATATTTCGCATTCTTTTCGCTCATATGTTTAATATTCAGCTAAACGAACGCTGTATAAACATGCTCATAACCGCAAATCAATTTAAAAGGCTTGCGATGCGCATGCTCAGATTCGCTATATTGCAGTTATTGCTCATATATTACTATGATCACACTTATACCTGTCTCTTATACACATCTAGATGTGTATAAGAGACAGGTATAAACATGCTCATAACCGCAAATCAATTTAAAAGGCTTGCGATGCGCATGCTCAGATTCGCTATATTGCAGTTATTGCTCATATATTACTATGATCACACTTATACATATGTATTGTATATTTATATTTAAATATACTACGAAATAATAACAACTGATTTTTTAAGTTAATTTTCTTTTTCATTATAATCTTTCTAAACTTATTTGTTTTTATTATATATTAATTTTATGTTGTTTCATTTAATCAATTAAATTTTACTTTTCGTTCTCTTTTCGTTTTATATATTCATACATTATAAACAAAACGTTAAAATTTACTTTATTTGATTTTTGCTTGAATATAATGTATATTGTATGATCAACTAAAAACCGAAATGCCGTGCATTACCTCACCATTTATCGATCGGCTCTTCCACTCCCCGACGTATACTATAACACCAAACCATCCATTCCTTTCCCCTTCCTTGCATCATAGTTATTAGTCCCGAACTCATACGTGAAGTGGAATCGCGTATGAATCGAAATTACATGCCACCTGCTTTGAAAATGCAGCAACATCAACCGCATACACATTCTCATGGCGCACCGAATCCCACACTCAGTCAATCCCCTCCCACGACCAGCCTTATGACTTACCATACGTCGTCAAGTTCCAATATTTTGCCAGCACAGGCATTGAGCAATGCAGCTTTGGCGGGGCAACAAGGTCCTCCAAGCGCCACTGGAAATAATAGACGAGTCCATTTCAAGTCCACAAATAAACTTCCAACAGTTCAAGAAGTTGGTAAGTTTTTGTTTTGTGTTATTTTCATTTTAATATTTAATACGTTTATTTTCTGTTTAAGATATGATTTTTTGTTAAATTTAAGTATAATATAATAATTTATTTTTACTTTGTATTTAATTTTATTTTGCCTTTCAATTGTGTTAGTTAAACTTAACGAATTAGTTAATTAATATGCGAGCATATAAATACTATTATAGTATATTAAAAAACTTAACAAAAAAATATGATTTTATGAATCTATGTACAGACCTGTTCACAACAAATAAAACACCATATCTAAAATATATCAAAATTAGTAGGTATGTCTAATTATAAAAAAAAAAATTTACTTTTTTTTGCTTGCCCAGACATACTGCGTAATCATACGTTTGCGATGTCAATATTGTAGTATTAAAAATCAGTGCGCTTACTTACACATATTAACCACTTAATTACGTGCATATATTCCCGTTATATGTTTTGCCGCTTACAATATTATTTGTTCAAGGTTACTGAAATGCAACAGTGATCTATTCAAAAAATAAGTAAATAAGAAATGTTTAATAGAAGCTGAAAATATCGAATTTCAGTAAGAGGTACAAAGAGTTCGCTAACCTAGCACTAGATGTTTAATCTGTATAATTACAAAACGGTTTAATTACATTTGTTTTTACTTGCATATACATATATCATGATAGTCTAGTTTAATTAATTAATGACCCTTTACATATTAGACATAATGTCTCATTAAATGTAGACATTTCTCAATTAAATCCGCAAATGAAAAATTAAATAACAAACATTAAGGGAAAACAATTTACAGATGATCTGTGCTCAGAAAAACGGGTTGAGAATGAATTTTTAAGGGATTGGAATGGTTTATCACAATTTCCTTCAAAACTACTGGACCTATTAAAAAATCAATATTGTAGATAATGAAAAGATCCATAATACATATTTGAATACAGACTAAAGTCTATATATGCCTCAAAATTTATATGAACATTCAAATCATATTATATTTATCTGAAACAAACATTGTGTTTCTTTTCTCTTTATCCAAAAATGATAAACCTTTTCATTACCTACAACATTTTTTCTTTAAGACTGGTATTTTTGCCGAAAATCGAGTTAAACCATTCTTAACCCTTAAAAATTCAGCCTCGCCCTTTCGGGCCTCAGATCGCTCATAATTTCTTCTTGACTTTATGTTTGCAAATTTATATTTCTTTTCCGATTTAATTTATGAACTATGATTTTTTTTTTCAAAAATTAAATAGCTTGGTCTAATAAAAACATATGCATTTTTATTCAAGAGTAAACAGAAAATTTCGAATATTTTCGTGTAATATATAAAGTATATAAATAATCTGGGAAATAAATTGTAATTATGCCAATTAAATAAGAGTTTAGCCCGACATAACTGTTATATGATTATAAATATTCACTCAACATATAATCTTATACTTACCTTTTCCTCTCCCAATGCATTTTCTATCTTTATAGGCCGATATAGCCCAGTACGACGTGCTTCAGAAGGCTCTAAAACGCAATTCCAAGGACCACTGCAAGAATGTCAGTATCTACAAAAGGTATCGGCACAACGTAACTTTCTAATCGCTCCAACACCACCACTTTCTGAGAACTCGATTAGTTTGCCTGGTAAGCTTCCAAAATTCAAACATAAAATTTTTAAAATCGTTATTCTTAAATAGATTATTCATTATTCATTTTACGAATTTGTAACATCAACGACATCAAAAGGTTAAGAATTCCTTTCAGCCATGCTCACAATTACTTTTGGAAATTAGAACTACATATTTACATATGTTATCTACAATTACACAAAATATACATACATATATTCATTTAGGTTTTGTGTCAAGTTCTGACTTAAATACATTATTCAAATTGATTCGTTCACATGTCGAATTTATTGGAAGTAACGGATGTAACATTCTAGTGCATATTATAAAAAATTCCAAACATTTGGAAATAAGTTTGTCAGGAAATTAATAATATTCATATATGTTTCAACTTTTTTTCCTAAGGTTCTCCTATACACGGTAAACCTGCTCCAAATATGGTGTTCCGACGTGGTCAGGATCTGGAAGTACCACCAGAAGCAGTGCGTGCTCTGATGCCACATCTGGATCGCCTCGTCAAGGAGCACCGTCTCAGTACAGAAGTGGCAAACAAAATTGTTTCTACTGGAATTGTGCCTTTGGACTTGGCCTGTCATTTGGGACTGACGGCACATTCCGGGAATGTTGCAGTGAGTGGTGGCCACCTAGATATGACGTCGCCTGGCATGCAGCATCAGGGTGCAATGTATAGTTTAAGTGTTTCGCCACTGTCTTTGCCAAATAGCGCCAATACAAGTGTTATCGCCGCCGTGAGTGGACCACTAACTACTCAACAACCACCTTGCAGTCACAATATGGGCACATACTCGAAACAAATGTTAGGGAAAGGTCCGTATCAACAGCAGCATCATTTTGGACTAGTGCATCCACAAATGCACCATCCTAGTAATGGTATTGTGGGACAATTCACTCACATAACCCTTAGTCAGGGTGTGGTTGCATCTCCGAGTGGTGGACACTTCAGTGGCTCAAATAGCAGCAGTGGTTGTCAGTCACCAATCTATAGTAGCTTTAGTGGCTCTTCTTCGCCAAATCCTTATATTCCAGGCACTGGACCATTTAATTCTAACTCCATTAGTAGCAATGGTGGTGGCGGATCTTCGCCGCTTCATCAAATAACCAAAGGTATTTCTGTGTTATCTACGGGTGGAGGCGGTTCCATCACCCGTGGCACATCAGCTGCTAGTGAAATTGCATCATCTGCTACGTCCATAACTTCAGCTGCTACTGCTATCAATCAGCCCTTAGATCTTTCCATGGATGTGTGTACATCTGACCATAATACTGAGATACCAATCAATACGTTTGCTCAGCAACATGGGAATTGGATGGTACCACAGTTATCTACCTTTGATCTCAAACCTCTAAATTTATCCCCAGCGCAACCTTTACGAGTGGTACCTACGCCTCCCGCCTCTCCTAATCTCTGTATAATACAAGAAGAGAATGCAAATGGACAGATGTATCATACAATTTCAACTGGGACACCACATGTCGGTTGCACCGGTGGCCTTATCAATGAAGACATATCAACTTTTCAACCTTCTCATCCACAAATATGTCTTACGGACGTGCAGGGTAGCGAAATCACATTAGTAGCATTGAGTTCGGAAAATAGTCGAGATAGCGATTGCGATTCACTGGAACCACCCGCACCGCTGATGTCTTTGCAAGTGAGTGTTTCTAAATAAATTCCAATTGTAAATGCTTTGCAATTTTTTATTCACCAATAAGTCGAATTTGATGTAATAATACGATCTGAACCTTTTTTAACAGGGCCTCATAATAACAGAATCCTCCAGTGATATGCCTTCGATCACACGTGGTACCGGACGCAAAACTAGTTTGGAGTGTGCAGGTGATAGCCCGTCAATCCGTTTGGAAAGCGATGCTGGTGCAACAAACAATGTCAGCGAGTCGAATCGCCGCGGAAGTGATAAATCCCTTGGCTTCTCGGACGATTCATTAAGTAATGATTCCAACAATCTCTCACCATGTCAAGAACCATCTGCCAGTTCAGGCTTTAAATCAGAATCGCATTCTGAAATTGGCGATCAAACGGAGGGACATTTGTCTCCCGATTCCATTTGTGACTCTCGTCGTATGTCCGAGGAAATGTGTTACGAAGTTCCGTTACCACATGAATGCTCTAATCTCGATCCGACACGCATACTGGAATTAGTCAAACAAACCATCGATCAAACAATGCCACCGAAAGGAGCAGTCCTTCACAAAGGGCTGTCTGAAGAGTATAGTGGTGCAGCTGGTGCATCGAGTACGAATGCTGAGGCACGTATAAGCAATGCTTCGAATACTACGAGTGAATCATCGGCAACCTCAATGGACACTAACAGTAGCACCTCCGGCTGCTATGGGAGCTTTGTCGGCATCGGCAGCAGCACAAGTACAAATCTCAGCTTAGAATACTCCGGCGGTTTGCAAATAGAGTTGCAAGTGTGCGAAGGTCGTAGCCGTGACAACCAAATAGCTGGCAAAGGTATCAAACTACGACGCATCTCGGGGGACCAATTCGAATATGGAAAATTATGTCAGCAACTCATCAATAAGCTGACCATGCAACAGGTCGCTGGTTAAACAGGTTACAGCGGTAACATCGCGACCATGATCCCCAAGTTCCTTATACTTCCATACATATGACGCATTGTAAAAAGAGTGCATGAAGTGTTAGTAACGTAGCATTTACCAAATAAAAGACAAAGACATACAAAAGGAACCAACATTCATATACTAATATCGTGATAGAAGTATCTTTAGTTGACAGATACGAAAAAGCTTTGCCAATAAATTAATTATAAAGAAGTAAATATCGTGCATAAATAGACTCCTAACTCCACTTTTGTGTACATAGACTTTTTGCGATTAAATATGATAACATTTTTAATATTATGAATGCGGTACAATTTTCATCTATTTGAATAATGTACATAAATATTAGCTGTGTATATATTTAAGAATCGCCATAATTGATCAAGTTTTATTGATGTTTGTATCGTAAATAATACGATCATTTTGGCTTTTAGAGAACACAAACGTTAATGTACAAGACGTGTATGTGTGCATATTCGAATATGCATTATACATAGTACATATATGTAATTATTGTATGTAGATAGACATGTGTGAAAGTTCGAAATTATTGCAAAATGCACATAAAAAATCGTGTGTATAAATGCTAAGTGAAACTTCTCGTAAATACAACTACATTTTTATGTACATATGTAGCAAGTAGGTAAATATAATATAACCAGAAAAAATCATGAAGCATATTATGTGCATATGTAAGTGTTAATGTATCTGTATACATCCATGTATACATGTATATGATTACTAAAGTTATATCAGCTAATTTTTTCGTCTTGTGCACTGCAAAAGTAGCCTTGTTAAACAAATTTTAAATAAAAAAAAAATAAATATTTTTGTCATTTGCTTATGCATAGATAGTAAAATAGTATAACTATTACTATTTTAGTTATGCATTTGAAATTCGTATTAAATATTAATAAAAAATATGTATAGGTATAATGTATATTAACAATTAAAAGCATCGTTAATTTCCAAGCAATTTTAATTTTTTTCGCTAAAAATAATAAATCTACAAATGTAGATTAATGAAATTCCTCGCAAACAGGACAACATTTCATACATAAGTACACACAAATACAAAATATATATGTATATCCCATTTGAACATTTAAACACATACATGTATGTAGCTCGATTAAAGCATTAAGAAGGGCAAAATCCGCAGGAATCTTTCGCATAAATTCAGCACGCCAAATGAAGTACGCACCTAACAAAACGAAATTTCAACTCCAATAAAATAAATGTCTGCATATGCATGAGGCAAAGGAACACTACCAATAAACTGACATTTAAAAAAATGTATGTATTTAGTATTGAAATTTTTTAATTTCAACATAAATAACTTCTGAAACCACTAGGCAAAATATACTATTGGTTATATAGCTAATTTCATAGTAAAGTATTATTTTGGCATTATTAAAAATATTTTACATCATCGAAATTAAATTTGCATTCAAATTGTACGTACCTATCATTTTTCAACCTTATTTATCTGTCCAAATTATTATTATTTTTTATTAATGTAATCAGTTGTTATTATTCCTAGTTTAAGGAGAACAACAACAAACTCACTAATCAAATCCGAAGTGTGCACATTCACATAATACTGGTTGCCTTAAGTCAACAATAAAATTTTGTTCTATAATTTGTAACTTTTGTCACACCAGCCGGAAACTATATTTTTAAATCTAAAGAGCTCCCTTGGCAGCAAATACGGATTGGTGCCCGTTGTTACCGAGTAAGTTCCATGCTGAAATTACGCATATACAACTTATTACACAAATATTGGCCGAGCGCAAACAAAACCTAGAAAATATTCATTCTTTTATACAGAAAATATAATTATATAATTCATATATGTATGTATGTATAGGCGCTATGTATGATAATTGTACGTAACTTTATTTAATCAAGTACTATATCAAAAGTTGTACAACTTCACTTGTATAGTATATAACGCTCTTAAAGACAGCCAGAAATGTATGCAAAAAAACAAGTAAGCGCTTCAATAATATTCTTCAAGTGCAACATCAGTAAGAATATAAATTACATTCCATGTAGGAAAATATTTGCATAAGTTAATTAAATCAGCCTTAGGGGACCGAACTATTAACTTCAGCTGATTTCATTTCAGAAATAACTCTTTATTTATATGTTTTACGTTTGACTGGGCTTTAGCATATATCTAGAAATGCCAGGTCGACGAAACTTTGAGCATTTCCTAAAAGAACTGATTGGCAAATAAAGTACTGTTGTTGCCGTACAAGTAGCAGAGCAGGCATTTGTATGTACATATGTAGAATATATGAGGACAATGGTTAAGTAGTTATCAGCTTTTATTCAAGTGCAGTATTTAGAATTTTAACAATACTTCCAATATGCCTCAAACTCCAAATCCTTAAACAAAGTAGTGTTATGTTTCTTTATTTTAAAAAAATATTTATGTGTTAATATTTTTAATTATCGTGTTTTTCAACTTCTTGTTTATTATTTTGATTTGCTAAAATTTATACTACAAATATAAAGTAATAGATACTATTAAATAAACACTTCTTAAGAAAATGTTAAAAATTATGTGAACTGATGTACCATCAAAATAATTTTCTGGAATGTGGAATTTATTCAGTAAAAACTAATATATTGTTTATATAAAATATATATGCATACATATATATGAAGACTGCTGTGATTTAAAATATATTTAAACTAATCTAATAATATATGTATATAAAAAAACAGTTATAAACTTACAAAGCTCTAAATTAATGTCTTAATAAATTACGAATAATAAAATCTGAATTAATTGTTTTCTTATACATTTTTAATATTTTAAGTTTGATTTCATTAAGTATGTCTGCATATATTTATGAACATACATATATTTGCAGATAATTGCTTCATGTACATATTTTACAGACGCTCGGCCAAGACCATTGGAATAACACAAATAGCTCTCCTGATTTGTTCCATAATTTAGTTAATTAAAGAATTCATAATCATTGCACCTTATTATCCTTGAGAGAAGTGCGATGGACAGGACAAGGACTAAGACAAGTAGAACCTTATGACATTTACTGCAGTGCCAATATAAAGGAGCGCAAATTTGGTGTGTGCGGAGACTCTGTTGCCGAGGCCTGCCATTCACCCGCATGAATGAACGTCTAGCCACAATTCGCATCAAAGCGGGGTTCTTCAACCTATCGTCATCAACAAACTGATTGGACCTTATCAGTGTGGCTTTAGTTCTGGAAAATCAACAACTGACCAGATATTCACTATGCTAAATCTTGGAAAACACCCGTGAAAAGACCACACATAATACCACCTCTTCTTTGATTTTAAAGCTGATTTCGACAGCACGAAAAGGAGATGCCTGCTATATTTCGTCTATCTTGGAACCAGTATTAAAACCAACAAAAATGTCAGCCACAAAATTCAACGCAGAATAACCCATGCCAACAGGTGCTACTTCGGACTGAGAAGGTAATAAGGAAGTAAAATCCTCTCTGAACCAAACTCTATAAGTCACTCATTATCCTCAAAATCTGAGTCGACGTTAGGAGTTTTCGAGAGAAAAGTTCTGCGGAAGATGGAGAAGGACCTGGTTTTTCTTCAAATCTTCAATTGGCGCCAAACAGCGAAAAAGAAGAACGACTGGAACGTTGTCGTAAACTCAGCTATAACCGCGTAATCGGTGTCTATGCCAGTGAAGAAGAAGAAGAATTCAGAAGCAACCGAGTACCTAGAAATAGTTTTCGAAAACTTAATACCAAAAAATATGGAATACAAGATTACGAAACATATTTACCGTTACTTTTTTAATTTTAAGCTGTAATGATTATTACAAAACCATGTTACATTATAACCGTCTTTGTAGACGTCAAACTTATGGAATGAGAATATGAAGCATATATATTTTTCTGTTGACGTCATAATTGCTAACTTAATGAATATTAATAGGGATTGTGCTTGATAAGAGGCAAAATTATTCAAAAGGTGGCAACGCTATTCACGCAAATAATCTGGCTTTTCGGTGTTTGACAAATTAATTTCCATGTGAAAACACAAAATTAAAATAAAAGTTTTTACTTCACAAAATGTTATGCCGACTCTGTTTAAAAGATTCTAATTGCTGTTTGGAAATATTTGACGTTAATGGCGAACAATTGGAAATTGCAGAAATATTGAAACGACATTTCTGGTTCCAGGTGTTTATAAATATCTACAAACAGATCATCAAAATTCATGTGAACATGTTTTTAATTTTTAATTAATATTTCAATCTTTTGCTTTAGCCTCTGCCTAATGACACCATTTCAACGGTGATATGTCGAATTTGTTGGTTAAAAGTAAGCGATTTCCATCAATTTTATTTGGCAATAGAACAAGCACATTCGAGTCTGAGTGATACCTGCGTGAAACTTGAAACCGTAACTGTGACTGATCAGGATTTTACTGAACAGTCTGTTCAAATTAAAGAGGAATGTTCAGAATTTTTACACATAAATGAGAAAGTTGAAGAATTGGTTAATCCATTATATGAAGCCGAATTTCAGCATAGTATGATTGAGGATTCAGAAGAAGATGAAATAAAAACCAAAGAAATTAAAAATGAGTCAGACATTAACATAACAGGTCAGTCAATAATTTCACTATAGTAAATGAATATGGTTATAGTAATTTCCTTCATTTAGAAAAAACACTGAGACAAAAGCGGAAATATGTGCGAAGGAAACAATCAAAAAAAAGTCTGGGAAAGAGTAAATTGGATGAAGATGAAGAGGACAGTGAAGATGATGATGATGATGATGAGCAGGAGAAACCAAAACGGCAAAAAGTTATTACCTCAACTCCACAAGACGACGCTATGGTTAAAAAACACATTCCCATGGGTTGTGAACTTTGTACATTTGTGGGCGAAGACTTCACCGCAATGGCTAAACATTTCCGTTTGCAACATCCCATGATTAAACCGTACATTCGTTGCTGCAACAAAAAATTAAATAAACGTTTTAAAGTTGTTCAGCACGCGTACAAACACGAGGATCCTGATTTTTTTAAGTACGATAATTGTTGATTATTTTGTCTTAGTCAACCTAGAGAACGGTAAAATAACTAATTAACTGCATTCCAAACGCTTTTAACTCTAATTTTCTAAGAAATTAACATTTGAATACATATTTTAATAATTTATTATTTTTAGATGTCAGGATTGCCAAAAAGTTTTTTCTGATCGGTACACTTTAAAATCTCATATGATTGCTGCACATGCCCCAGAGGAAGAACTCAATTTCGCATGTGACCAATGTCCCAAAAAGTTTTCACGAAAACATTTATTAGAGTTACATCGGCCTTCACATGTACCAATGGATGAGCGCTCTTTCATATGTGATCAATGTCCAAACAGTCGATTTGCTAGCAATCATTTATTGAAAATTCACATAAGCATGCGTCATCGTCGGGCAACTAACGTTTGTCATGTGTGCGCTAAAGAGATWCGGGATAAAGCATCATTTGAAAAGCACGTACGTTTACATTTCGAAGACAGCGGACCTCGTGTTAAATGTCCACGACCTGATTGCGATCGATGGCTTAAGGATGAAGAAAATTTGCGGCAGCATATGCGTCGACATAATGATGAGGGATTGGTTTTCAAATGTGATGAATGTAATCGCGTTTGCAAAAATCGTCGCGCATTACGAAGTCATATACTTTATGTGCACTCAAATGAAGTTTTCACCTGTGAGGAGTGTAATAAAACTTTCAAAAAAGCAATTACTTTGAGGGTGAGCAGGAATATTATTTTTATATATATTGACATATGTAGTCATAATTAATAGAAATTTACATAAATACACAAATTTGACTTTTACTACAAACTCGTCTTTCAGGAACATATGGCACAGCATACTGGTGAAAGCCTCTACAAGTGTCCATTTTGTACTCGAACTTTCAATTCAAATGCTAATATGCACTCGCATAAGAAAAAAATGCACCCTATTGAATGGGACGTGTGGCGAAAAACGAAACAAGGGAGTTCACAGCAGTTGATAAGCAAACAACAGAGCATTTTGTAAATAAAATCCATAGCAGTAATAATAGCTATTATGAAAATTATCAATTTCAGAATAAGTTTCGTTTATTTTTTGTTACATACATAAATAAAACATACAGGGTTTTTCCGGAAAGTAAAATTACTGAGTCGATTTAAGAAAATTGAACGAACCAATCTTTACAATTCTTTAAAATCTTTTAAAATAGGCTCCTTATACATCAATGCAGCGCTGCCAGCGCCATTTCCAAGCATTGAAAGCGTCGCGGAAGGCATTCTCCGGAATAGCCTTGAGAATCGAAGTGCATAAGATAAATAATTGAGGAATGCACTGCGACCTTAGGTCTATTGTGCCCTCTCCTAACTCACAGGGACTTGCTTAGCCCCAGCATATTGACGAAGTCCAGTATTCTGCTGGGTGCTAGCGAGGSGATGTGATCCCTATCCGGAAACATGGCTCCAAGGGCCTTCGACCTGCGCCTACAGACTGCAATGAAGTCGATGAACAGGTGCTCCGGTGTTACAGGGTCCCTGCCGCAAAATCGACAGTTGGCGCAAGATGATAGGCCCATGTTAGCTAAGTGCCTTTTCAGCTTGCAGTGGCCGGTAACGATTTGAACCTCTTCTGGACGCATGCCGTGCGCTCGCTGCCAATACCTTTCCCTGCACACTCTTTCTTCCTTGCGGAGCAGCTCCTTCACAGTGTGGGGACCCACCGCAATGAACGGTTCGGGCCCAACCATACTGGTGGAGGCTGCGGAACGGGCTAGCTCGTCAGCCAGTTCGTTGCCGGCTATACCCCTGTGGCCGGGCACCCAGATTAGGTGCACCTGGTTCTTTGCAGCTAGGTTGTTCAACCATTCTCTGCACTCCTGCACCAATAGCGATTTGATCTCGTAGGAGGAGACCGCTTTAGTGCCGCTTGACTATCGCTAAGTATAGCTATGCGCTCGTTGCGATAGTTGCGGTGGAGGTTTATCTCTATACACCGACTTATAGCCAGGACTTCAGCCTGAAAAATACTCGGAAAGCYTCCCATCGGAATGGAGAGCTTGGTACGCGGGCCTACAATACCCGCACCTATGCCTTCCGACGTTTTTGAGCCGTCGGTGTACCACCTCAATGTGCTATCCCTTAGCATTTGCTCAAGAATGGGGTCGTTCCACTCATTCTTGCTACCGAGGGTAACCTTAAACCTTTTCGTGAATTGAGTTGATTTAGTAATGCCGTCTTTTGGGAGGAGGGCAATAGGAATGTAGCCACTTGTCCTCTCCATCATCTGGGACGAGATTATCTTGCCTCTGCCGCATCCCTCTGCTGTTATCTGCAGAGGTTAGGGCTTGGCTACTTGACCTATCATTATATGGAGCGGTGTAAGTTCCAACAGGACCTCCAGAGCTGCCGTCAGACAGGTTCGCATAACGCCCGTCATGCAAACACATGCTAGCCGCTGAAGCTTCGATAGTTGGGTTACCACCGAAGCCTGCGACGCTGCGGAGGCCCAGGACACCGCCCCGTATGTAATTACGATCTTTGGCTTATAGCCCCACGATTTACCCGGCAGCCGTTTGCACAGCATTAACGCTTGTGTTGCTTTGACCAGCGTTTGGTTCACATGCTGCTTCCACCGCAGGGTAGAGTACAGCGTAAGACCCAGGTATTTAACCTTGCTAGTCATCACGATCTCTCTGCCACCAAGTGTGAGGTTCCTCAAGCCGGGTAGGGACCTACGCCTTGTGAAAGAGACTACGGTTGTCTTTGAGGGGTTGATGTTTAGTTACACTCCCCTGCACCACCCCTTTGCCAGATTTAGACCTCGTTGCACTAGGTCACAGAGAGTATCTTCAAATTTTCCTCTTGCTATTATCACAATGTCGTCCGCATACCCTTGGCAGCGGATCCCATTGTCAGTTAGCAATGCTAATAGTTCGTCCACGACAAGGCTCCATAGTAGAGGTGATAGCACACCTCCCTGTGAACATCCTCTTGTCGCACCCAGACGGATCTTTGTTCAACCTACCCTGGTCTCTGCGATCCGGGTGCGCAGCATGGCCTCTATCCATCTGCGCACCGGTGCTGCCACATTTCTTCTCTCCATCGCCCTGGCTACACCCTTATGAGATGTATTGTCGAAGGCACCTTCGATGTCTAAGAAGGCACATATCATCACCTCCCCTTTCTCCAGTGAGCTCTCTATCTCCGAGGTCAACTGGTACAGAGCCGTACTGGTGGATCTTCCCGCTCTGTATGCATGCTGAGCMGCATGCAGGGGTGCACTCTTCAGCGCCGTCGACCTTATATTRTGGTCTATGATCTTTTCCATAGTCTTCAGTAGTAAGGAGGTTAGACTAATCGGTCTGTAGGACTTGGCCTAAGAATAGTTCTTTCTTCCTACTTTGGGTATGAAGATCACCTCAGCCGTTCTCCATGGGTCAGGGTTGTACGCCATTGCAATTCTCTCCCTCAGCAGCCGAACAAGGTGAGGTAGCAGATTCTGTTCACCCTGCTGCAAAAACGCTGGGAAGATGCCGTCCACCCCTGGAGACTTGAATTTTTCGAACGAGGCCATTGCCCACTTGATCGAGTCCGCAGTGACTAATTGCCTAGAGGTTACCCAATCCAAGCGGGATGGCCTATGTTCTCTCACAGGTAGACATTGGTCCACCTGGATGGTCTCCGGGAAGTGAGCACGCAGAAGCTCTGTCGCCCTGTCCTCCGCGCTGGTCGTAAAAGTCCCGTCACTTCTTTTGATGGCTATCTCCGTGTTAGATTTCCCACTAGCCAGAGCCTTGTGCAGCCGCGCCGCTTCTGGTGTGGAGGAGACCTTTTCACAGAAACTCCTGAAGCTAGTTTGTTTTGCTGACATAATCTCCTTATTGTAGAGGGTTAGGTAGCTCCTGTATTCTTCCCAGACCCCTGTACGTTTTGCCTTGTTGAATAGGCTACGTACTCTTTTCCTGATGTCTGCAAGCTTCTTTGTCCATCAAGGATAGTTGCGCCTATCTGTGGGCAATATTAGGGGGCAGCTACCGTTGTAATGCTTTCTATTCCCGGGCCCGTAACGCTATCATCGATCAGCCTCTCCCTGTTTAGTTCATCCTGTAGCATTACCCTGAAGGCACTCCAGTTGGTCCTTCGAGGGTTGCGTCTTGGGGAAAGTTGCCTGTCCTCAACCTTCAGTGCGAACCTTACAATTCTATCGTCCGACAGGGAGGGTTATCGAAGTGCATACTGTTGGATCCCCTCTGTCGTCTCAAAATGTTTGCTTTTCTTCGGCTTTTTCAGGAAAGAGAACAAAACCCCGGGAGGGGCACATCTGGGTTCTAGGGCGGCTGCGGAAGTGTTGAGATGCCGGCCTTGAGGTAGCTGTTCACAAGAAAGGCGGTGTAAGCCGAGGAGTTGTTGTGGTGCAACTTCAGTTAAAGTCAATCGGCTGCGATGTCTTGTCGGACCGGATTGACTCTTCGTTTGAGTCTCTTGAGTTAAAAAATTAAAAGAATACTAATTCGACGGTATGAGTTCAAAACTTTGCGCGCACGAGTCACATGTCGGTGTTTGTCGAAGTCGCAGGTCACCCAGCACGGTCTTCATCAACGACCTCTTCCCGGCTATCCAAAAAGGCCTGGTGCCTCTGAAACATACCACTTCTTGCTAAAGCAACATCTGGGTAAGCCTGCTTGATCATATCAAACGTTTCTGCCGCAGATTTTCCGAATTTCACCCAGAATTTAATCGCGTACCTCTGTTCTAACGAACGTTTCATTTTCGGCTTGCATTTAAAACAAGTAAAACCGTTTTGTTATACAAAAATTATTTATTACTTTACTAAAAACTAAAGTAGCTGAAACTATTTATTTTCTATAATAAAAATACAACGAATGTACTAGTATTTAGCGTACTTTAAAATATCTGTAAGACAAAATCAATATTATTAGCAAGTAACTAAAAATATACGTTATTTTCTCCGTTATAAGCTCTCTATTACCTTTTTGTCCTTTAGTTCCTTGCTTATTGTACTCTTGCTGTTAACAGAAAAATAACTTTTGACGAAAGGCTTTAACTTCGACTGAATGGAAGCTATCAGGTTGTTCAATAAATTTTGTCGTTTGATAAGAAAAACACAATTTTATGATTTAGAATACACTTTATTATTCAGTATAATTTCCCTGCACATTAATACACGTGCTCCAACGATCCTCAAATCTGTGGATCCCATCCCTGAAGTGAGAATTCAGAAGGTCTGCAAAATACGGTTCAACAGCCGTTATGACCTCTTCTTTTGAAAAACGTTTGCTACTCATAAATTTTTTGAGTTCTGGAAACAAATAAAAGTCGCTGGGCCAAATCTGGTGAATAGGGGCGATGCTTCAACAATTCGAACTTTAATTCATAAGCCATTGTCAAAAGGCTCTTGTGACACGGAGCATTGTCCAGGGGAAAAAGGTTTTTCCATCTGCAAACCGAGTCTATTTTTACTATTTTTTTCCTTCAACTGGTTCAAAAGATTGCAATAATATTCAGAATTGAGTAGCTTACCAGTTTGCAAGTAATCCACAAACAAAATTCCTCTCGCATCCCAAAAACTGATGCCATAAACCTCTTGGCCGAACTCGTTTCGAAGCCGAACAACCAGGTTCAGCCTCTGGTTTTGATTCAGGATCATGAGAATAGATCCAAGTCTTTTACATAGTGATGAATCGACGCACAAAATCCACTTTATCCTTTTTAAAACGCTCCAAATGTTTTTGAGAAAGTCGCATTTGAATGTGTTTTTGTTCCATTGTTAGCGAATGCGGCAACCATTGTGAACACAGCTTTCTAAAACTCAAAATATCAAAACTCACACTGCCTAATGAGATGTGTAGAGCCTCTACTAAATCTGTCAATCGACGATCTTTCAAAATCATATCCTGTATTTTGACTTTGATTTCTGGTACACTCTTTTGGCATACATATATCATCGCTGTAGTTTCATTATGCTTTAAAATATATTTATTGAAATTAAAAATTTAAATGACATTTAAAATCTTAATNNNTACAAACCTACAATGATTGCGCCATCTTCGTACATTATGCATATTTTAGCTCCATCTGATGTCCAACACATTAGTCATCTCTTCGTACCAAGAACCCTTGTAGATCATCCAAACCATAATCATGCCATCCAAATCCGAAAAAGACAATTTCTGCTGACTTTCGTTTCTAGTGACCACTTCAACCCCTTCCTTATGCCCTTCCAGAGTTTGATTCATAAACAAATTTGATACAGCAGCTATCCGTTCCCACGACAGTCGGGTCTACGAAAACCGGAACGGACCCGGATTTTTATCCGGCCAAGGACTGTCAACTCGGCAGAATTCTGCCGTTACAACAACAACAACAACATACAGCAGCTATATTGCCTTTATTTGGACCGCTGGACGCTGAATAAATGGAGGCGGTAATAAATTAGATAAAAAATACTATAGTACTACCTTGTTCTAATTTCAGGACCTTAAATAGTCCCTCAGAACCAGCGACTGCTATATACGAATGCTGCTTTTTCCAAGCTAGCAATTTAATTTTACATTGTTCGGTATAGCAATCTGATGAAATGTTTATTAATTTTACAGGAACCGTTAGGTACTTTAAGAGTAATGAAGGAAATGTATAAAGTGTTAAATAATGGAATTGTCGACGAACAAAATCCCCAACATATACTTATCTCCATATGTAAATTTATATATAAACAAAAAACTTTTTGTTTAAATATACAAACATATGTACATATATGACGATTTCGGTTTCAGGTTAGTGGCACTTATCACATGCATTAGTATAATAATAAAGTTAGACAAAAGAAGCTTAATAAAATTAAGAAATTACTTTTTAAAGTTGCAGCTGCTTGGTGGTGAAAGAGAAGCTTTGGAACATGACCTATGACATCGTGATGGAACAGGGTGTAGTGTTAGACACAACAAGCTGGTCTCCAATAGCTCGATAATGACCGCAATTGTACGAGCATATCGTGCACGTTACAAACACAAAAGTATTCTAATTTACTAAAATTTAAAATTCATCTTAAAGATCCGCTACAACGAAAAGATGTGGTCTTTATCTGCGCCGTTCCTTTGGCTGAGATCGCAAAGGATCGCGATGGTTTTCGGATATGGGTGGAAACAAGAAAATTAAGAAAAAATTACAAAGAGCTCCCAGTAGTAGCAAGGCCCAAAAGCTATGGAAAAAACATAATATTGTTTTAATGTTACAAAGTATAAATTTGGGTAACAAATAATTTTGTTAGCTCATAACTTAGCTATGTGTTATGCATAAAAAATAAGTATTTGTTCCCCAAATTTATATTTTATAACATTAAAGCAATTTATATTTTTTCCTTAACTTATGTAAGTTAAGTATAAAGAGATTTGATAACAAATTCTGTTAGAACAAGACAAAATGCAATATTACTCATTAGTTAGAGCGAGAAAACAATCGAATTTCATGTGGCGATATTTTACCTTTTTACGACTCTCTGAACAAAATTAAGAAATAGTTTAACGTTCAAATGAACAAAAACAAGTCTCTTAATAGAATAAATGCGAGCAGAAATAAAAAATAAACATAGTAAATAATATATTGATGTAATTTTTGACAATAAGCAACTCATATTGGTGAATATGAATTACCGCAACCCTGATTCACCATAGACAGCCATGTTACTTTTTGTTAAAAAATTAAGATTTCGCTACTTCTATATACATTGATTTGTTCTTTGTGATACAATTGCTGCGTATTTGGTTGGATTAAAATAATTTTTAATATGTTTTGCAAACTATGCGACAAATATTCAGATGGTTTGCTAGGCATATTCAAAGAAGAAGGTGTTGAAATGGGTATTGCTGATATTATCGGATTACACTTTTGGTTTAAGGTATATATGTATATACATTGAATAAAGATTTCTTGTATAGATCCTAAATAAATTATTTTAGTTACACTCTGATGATGACATATATGCAGCGATATGCCAAGCTTGCTGGTTAAAATTAAACGACTTTCACCAATTTTATAAAATGGTAGAGAAGGCTCATTCAGTACTTGCTGATAACAGCATTAAAAAGGAGCCTCTAAGTGAATTAATGGACATTGAATTTATTGATCCTGATCTAAGTATTAAAGAAGAACCCGATGAAAAGACAAATTCGAAGGCTAAAAAGTCAACAGACAACTC